CATTTAGAGTTCCGATGGAATCTTTTAGGCTCTAAAGGCATCTTTCCGATAATGGGAGGCCCTATATTCATGGTGGACTCTATATTTTTTTTATGATGTAAGTTGATTTATGTGGTTTTTATTTTTTATTTTTTTAAAAAAAACTATTTTACTTTAATGTTTGTTCATGTTACGTTAGTTTTTTTTGTGTGAACATTTCAACCAAAAAAATATCAAAATTTGGACAAGATTTGGAAATCAACATTTTATTTCAACTTTGGAAATCAACACAGCTTTTGAAAGAAAAAAGTGGGTCAGCATGGTGGCAAACATGCTGTTGACAAAAGAAAAAAAGGCAAGTATGGCTTGTTAATACCACTTTGCAAAACCCAAGGGAAGGTATCGTATAGTAGTGTAGCTCGAAAATTCGAGTGTCATATCCACAGAGAGCAGTGTAAAGAAAATAACAGATATGAAAAAGAACAAGTGTGATTGAGAGGTAGATTTATGCAAGATTTGATTTAGAGAAAATTTAATTGATTAAAATACTAAGGCATTGGGGTTCCACTTTTAACATAAGCATGCAACTCTTATTAATTTGATCCACAAAATATTTTCCAATGTAGTTGTTCAAAATAATTAAAGCTCTTTCTAATTTCCTTTAGAAGTATTCTAAGCATAACTTGTATCATTGGCAACAAACTATCAAAAAATAATCTTCATCAAAATTCTATTAATCTAAGTAATTCTCTTCTCTTTTTAAAAGCATGAAAGTTTTTACTACACAATGGGAAAAACATGATTGAACCCATGAAATAGATTATCAAACATTCATCAATTAATTAAAAAGAAAACTACAAGTTCACATTAAAGCTTAAGTTTAGATCAAACTAATAAAAATTACATACTCATATTAAAAGCTTTCTCCCTAGCCTTAGCTACGGAGTTAGTTCCCCATAAAATAAAACTAAAATAGAAATTTAGAACTAGAAGAATTGGAGGAAGGAGAGAGAGCTCAAGAGAAGATTGTGAGCTTGGTGTGTCTTTTTGAAGCTTAAAGACTTCTCTATTTATAGGTCTAAGAGGGAGGAACATCATGATGAATTTCAACACCACCATTCCTCTTTTAATACAATCCATAACTCCCATTTCATCTTGTCTATGTTAGTGTGGTTGGAACATCCCATACTTCTTTTGCTGCTGCACCTCAAGCTTTCTTCACATGGGTTTTCAAAAGTGTTCAATTATGGCTGCCTTTTGATGCCAACTCATGTGGGTTTTCTTTTGGTTACTGGAAAAAAAGATTCTTCTGAACCAGGCTTGGTGTAGGAAGGCCTGAGGTTTCAATATGTATCCAATGGGGTTCAAATTTGGATATGTTATAATAGACACCCATTGGAACAACTTTTATGAAGAATGTATTCCTATCTGAGTAGTACAAGTGTACGTTTTGGGCCTTACAAGTTGACTGCCGAAAATAGACTGGAATTGACTTCATTTCTTTTCTTTCATTTCTTTTTGCTTCACATGCATGCACATTCCTTTTCTTTAATAGCTCCAGCATGTACCTATATAAAATCATGATATTAGAATGTAACAATTATTGTCCAATTGATAAGAGTTTGGGTGCCACTTCAAAGAGAGATAACTAAAATAGAGAATTCAAATGAATTAGCCTATATTTCAATGAAGTGCAAATGGATTCGTAAAATGCAATGGAACATTCTAATTGGTGCAAAAATCAATAAAACAAAGTACTAACAACTATAGATTAGGGATAGAAATTGTAATAATTATGTGGTTATCATGGCTTCGTACAATTGCAAGGCAAGTTAGAGACTAAAAAATGTGGGCTGCAACTTTTCTCCTTGCAGGATCCACTTGGTTTCAAGGGCTTCAACCAAGCATATAGATTTAGGTAGTGCTCCGGTTGGGCTTCAAGTTTTAGAGCCTTGAATTTGCACCATTGGGGATGCTTTTTAAGGAGAGTTTGTATTTATGGGAGCCTTATGGTGGTTGAGCCCAAATAGAGCCCCCATTGGGGATGGCCTTAGGGATACTATTTTGTACATGAGCTCTACATTATAGAGCCCCCAAAGAAGTTGAGCCCCATTTAAGGCCCCCATTGAAGATGGCCTTAGAGAACTTTCGTCAAACACTTTCCACACCCACCCTGGAATTTTTTAATTAAAACTTTAATCAAGAGTCACCGTCCAATATCCTTAAAACAACCCCAACTATGCAATTTTTGGGTAAAACACTTGCAGACTAATCAAAGCACCCGATTTCCTTTCTTCCCTTATGTTCTAATGAGTCGTCCTTTATGTACATGATTTTTGTTTACACCAAGTTGGCCTCACCAATGGTAGAAAAAACTTATGTGACGAAAATATCACTGTTTTGCTATTCCCGACCAATCATAATTTGCTATGTGAAATATTTATTCCCCTACACACCATATGGTGATTGGCTGCGAGGATAGCACTACACAAGTGTTTCTCCACCAATGGAGGACCATGTCTTTCCTATATTTATAGTTTTGGTAAGTTGTAAAACGAAGGCCCACCCTGGTTATGTGCAAGTAGTGTGTGATGACAGAGGAGCTGGTGCTGATAATAGCGGCTCAAAATGCAGTGGAAATGAGGCAAATAACGTTTGACTTGGAATTGTTGGATGCTTAAACGTGAAGATTATGTGTTCAAGATGCTCAAGTGTCTAGCGGTTTTCTTAAATGTGTTAGCTTTATTTTGATTTGATGACTTGTTCAAGTAGATTTAGGGTTTATGAGAGCATATATATCCTTGTAGCCTCCGGTGAGCATTTCGTCCTACGAGAGAAACCTTGAGGTTGAGTTATTATGAGTTTCTTGGGTATATTGAAGGTATCTCTGTTTCCTTGTAACATTGGCTATGGACAAATGCCCCTAGTTTACTACACGTCCTCTTAAGTCCATGCCTACTAACTTTAGTACCAAAATTAGAGAAGTCGAACGTCAAATAAATGGTAACGGGTATTGGTGTCCTCAAGAGGAGTTTATATTGTGGCACTTTTGGTGTCAAATATATTAAAACAGTGCTTCTTAGCTATGTTGCACGGACACTCTACTAAGCCCAAGTGTCGGAATGTTGGACACTCGGACACTCCTCAGAAACCCGTGTCCAACGATCAACGCCGTGTTCATGGTCAAGACACTCCACATAGATAGTCAAGACACTCTCAGGACACGGGTCAACTCATACTCAGGATCATCTAATGTGTTAATTCAATTATAATTCATATCAAATTAGTAAACTACATTTTGAATTTCACTGTATTGTATTGTAAAATTGGAGTATGACCATCAATATTTGTTTTAATATATATATATATATATATATATATATATATATATATATATATATATATATATATATATATATATATATATATATATATATATATATATATATATATATATATATATATATATATATATATATATATATATATATATATATATATATATATATATATATATATATATATATATATATATATATATATATATATATATATATATATATATATATATATATATATATATATATATATATATATATATATATATATATATATATATATATATATATATATATATATATATATATATATATATATATATATATATATATATATATATATATATATATATATATATATATATATATATATATATATATATATATATATATATATATATATATATATATATATATAAGTGGTTAGTGGCGGATCCAGGATTCTTAGGTCATGAGCTCGTAGTGTAAAAATTCTGAATTTTTTTTAAAAACAAAAATAACTTTGAAAAATTGAACGATAGCACTTTCAACTAATCAAACGCACAAAACCTACCTTCCAGTGTTAGAAACGACTTGGACGGAACTTTTCTAGCCAAGTCAAGTTGTTCTCTCTCTGTTTCAATAAACAACAAGAACAAGTATACTGAAAGAATGAACTTCACAGGGAAGAGTTTTGATCAAATTAGCATACCATCATTGTGATCGAGCTGGATATTTATACTGCATCAAGCCCTATTTACAAGGTAGGTATTTGAAACTCAAATTACAACCTTATCAAATGAAGTTGAACAAGTAAAAAAAAACGCTAGCAAGCCTTAGCCAAAGTCTGGAATGAATTTGAATTTGAAACCACAGATAAAAGATTACAATTCTACAAGCATTTCAAAACCACAAGAATTAAAAAGAGATAATACAGAACAAAAAACTTTCAGGCTTTAACCCTTACTAGAAGAGTGTGAAGGACCTCTGGGTTCTCATCTAAGAAACCATCCATGTTATTGGGAATTAAGGGTGGTGGGGGTTGGTGCTTAGTGTTTGAGAGGGAGTGGGAGTGGGAGTGTGAAATAATTTGGGAATTTTTTGGGGTGTGAAGTCGGGTAAAGACTAAAGAGGGGTGTGGTGGTGGGTGCTGTTTTTTTTGGCTCAAAACGACTGAGTTTTGAGGCCAGTCATTAAAAAAAGATGAAGAGCCTGCAGAACGACGTCGTTTTCCAGGCGATTTAAAAACGAAAGAGACTCACAGCGCTGCAGGGACTTCATGCAAAAGGACCTCCAAGCCTATTCCCATGGCTGTCCTTCAGGACTTCTATCGAACAGCTTCTGTGCATGGGGTCGCACCACCAGCAAATAGGGACCTCCAAGCCTATTCCCATGGTTGCCATAGGGTCGTTTGACCCCATTGACCCCATGGTGGCTCTGCCACTAGAAGTAGTCAAGCGGGTTTACCACAGTGGTTATGGCCCTTCCCTCTCCCATACTCAGTGGCGGATCCAGGAATTTCCTCTTCGGGGGTCAACGTATAAAATCTCACAAATTTTTTTAGACAAATCTAGAATACACCATATTATTATTAACCAATCTGCAAAGATTGCTTGACGAAAAATGTGAAGAAAATTAACACAAAAACCATACTAGCTAAGTATAATAAAAAAATAATAATAACACACACAAAAACTAAACTAATTAACCAAAACATTCTTTATTACTTAATTAAAGCATACAAAAGCTAAGGACATACAATAATTATTATTAATTAATTTAAAAACATACAAAAGCTAAGTACATACAAGTTGGAAAAAAAACAAACAAACAATAACAACATTATGGCGAGCTTCATGATTCCACAATAGAAGACTTTAGTTTGACCCTCTGGATCTCCTCTCTTAGGTTTTCTCGTACCGCTTCTTAGGGCTCATTACTTGAACTTCCAAATATCACTTTCTTAGTTTTAGCAAAACTTGGATCTCCTCACGTATATTTACTCAGTTGATCCAAGGCCTTCAGTTGCTCTTGCATGTCCTTAGGGTAAAAATCTATCATCTTTGATAGCTTTTGATTCTCTTCTTGCAATATTTCAAGCTAGTGTCGCATCTCCTCGAATTAGAAGAGAGAGAGAGAGAAGAAAAAAAGAGGAAAAAAAAAAGGAAAAGATGAGAGAAGGAAAAGAAAAAGAAAAAAAAAACAAGAATTACTATTAAATTAACACATTATATTGGCCCATAGGAGAAACTTTTTAAATAATTTACCCATTAACCATTATCATGAAACCAGGCCTTAGCCCATTAAGTTACTATTTGTTTTTAATTACAAATCAAAACCAAACGTGTTTGACCAAAAAACTTAAAGACCAAACGCGAGTTTCACCTAAACTTAGTGGCTTTACCCACATGACAATGACATCTTCTTGCTTCTTTTTTTATGGATCAGAACACGACGTCGTTCAGTGTGTTTTGAGAAGACAAAAAAAAAGTCAGAAATCCTCATCTTCTTCCTCGCGCTAACAGAGTGCCTCTGCAACGAGGTAGCCGCCTGCAAATCAAGCAATTGCAGGGGTCACATTTCTTATCCCCAAGCCATGGTTTCTGGTTTGCAGGGGTCAATTGACCCCCTTTGCCCCAATGTGGATCCGCCACTGCCCATACTTGGCACCCAGGTTCGAAACTCCAGGGTTGTCTTTCCTCCCAATGTAACCAGAAAAAACATTTTTGAAGTATATGAAGATGTTCTAGGGAAAAAAATTACTAGAGCTGTAATGTATCTCAACCAATCAAATCATATGGCCATGAGTTGGAGAACAAGTCAATACGTAAAATGAGCATGTGGTTGGTTTATATTCAGCTTCATATCACCATCAGCAACCATTAACAAATCTAATTGGGTGGTTTTTTTTCTTTGTTTTTTCTTGTGGCAATGTAATTGAATTGTTGAGGCTAAAAAATTATTTAGAAACATTTCTTGATTTAAGACTCTCATTGATTTAAAAGTTTGTGGAGCTCACTCTAGATAAGAGTGACATGGCAGCGAGAGTGACTAGACGTTGCTATTTTTTCTCTCTCTGCCTTTTATTGGTATTTTGCTAATTTTGCATATGGAAAATGCTAGGGAGACCAACTTGAGATACCAACTTGTGTACCAACTCTCTAATAGAGCGTGAGACCCATTGTATTAGTGGGCTCCACCTCTATTAGAGAGTTGGTACACAAGTTGGTCTCCCTAGCATGACCCTTTTGCGTATACGGCTTCTTCATGCGCTCTAGCCTCAGGAGAAAAATTTAGGAGAGAGTGTTCATGCCATGTGGGTTAATATAAACAAGCCACGTGGTAGGAATAGAATAGCAGATTTTCTCCAGTCACATAGTGTAAGAGTCATATCATCGTGTAATGTTATCAATCTACTTATGTCATAAAATAGGTATTTTTGTAGACATGAGTTTAGCCAAGTTGGCTAGAAAGGATGTGCACCTCACTCTGCAATTTAGTTCGAATCCCCCCTCCCTTGTAATTTATATTAAATTAAAATAGTATATAGTTTATATATAAGAAAAGGCGTATATAGTATTATACTCTAAATTCACAACATATCTCAAAAACCAAATGAGTCTTAAAATTGAGATAACAGAACCCCAAAACTACACAACTCCTCCTTTGTCTTATTTCGTAACACTGCTTTGCCTTTACCTCTGGAGGAGTTCCCATAAGTCCCAAAGCCAAGAAGGCAGTTGAAGACAAGAAGCCCCCAGCAGTGGTTTGTTGAGTATCTTTCTTGTATGTTAGTCTGTTGTTTTCTATGATAGAACTTCAGTTTAGGGATTCTTATTTGAGAACATCCTTGAGGGGTCTGCTATATATTGTATTTCAGTTATCTGAACAATCTATTTTTTTTTTTTTGGTCTTAAACCATGAGGTGGTCCTGGATGGGCCCCAACTATGGGTGGCACCTTTAAGCCTTAATCACAACCCAGACTAATCCCCACTCACACCGGGTCGGCCCGTAAGGGGTAAAGTGTTGGCCAAAGTGGTGACTCCGTACGAGAGCAGGGATCGAATCCTTGACCTCTCTTAAGGAATGAAAGTGCCGAACCACTCACACCAACCACCTTGGTTAACAATCTATTTTTTAGTAGCCTTCAGAGATCATTTTTGCAGAAAATCACTTGAATTTGAAACTATTTAACCACTTAATTAATTTTTTGTCATTTAATTATTTTCTTAAAGCACTATATTCGTCTATTTTATTGCTCACAACTATATGGTGCTCGGTTTGTCTAATTTTTTACAAACATGATCTATGAATAAAGCCCTAAAAATTAAACGGTTCGAATCGCTGAAACAAAATTCGTAGTTGATGAAAGATATCTCTCAGACAAAGTCACTTGAGAATCTCTCAATAGAAGAGAACATAAAAGAGAATTGTATTTTTTTATTCATAGTGGACACAAAATTTTTACACTCATTATTACAATCATTCCAAGCCACTAATCAAAAGACATTAAGTTTGAGAATGTGTCTGAAATGAATTATTGATGCTTTTTAATTAATCAAAGCACATTGGGGATACCTTAATAGATTTTTTTAATGTTTGTAATATCATCTCTCTTCTCACCTACTTCTCCCCTCTGTTTTGTCCTTTAAATCATCGTAATCCAAGTCTGGTGGTGGTATTGCTCTTCCATTGATCCTGGGGCACATCACTTTGTTTTTTGTTTTTTTTTTTTGTTTTTTTTTTTTTGCTTT